GCATGGCATGCCCAGTCCCACCCGCCCCCCCACAACATAAGAAGCAAAGCTGGCACAACTGGGGGCCGAAGTCACACCGGCCAGCCGGTTTGGTACAGCTGATGCGGCCGCGATGGCGGTTGCCGACGGGAACTGGCGAGCGCGCGTTGAATGCCGAAAAACAGAAACTGTGTATTGTCTTTTGCAGATTAGATTGGGACGGATTGGATGGGCGGGCGCGGGGTGCGCGCCGCGTCCCATTCCTGCCGTGCATTTTGCGACGTGGACGACAGGACGCCCATGCGACGGTGCCAGTGACGGCGACGACTCTAGAAGGATTTGAGCATGCGCTCGCGGCGACGCGCGCGCATGTCGCCCGCGTGGTATTTGTTGCACAGGATTCGCGGCCTGGGTGCATGACAGAGCATCGCGAGTGCACCGCGCGATGACGTGAAATCGCTGGATTTGACAGAATTCTTAAGATTCCTAATGTTTTCCTATGATTTCAGCAAGAGAGCCCGGGCGGGAAATTTGTACAATTTTTTGTGAAAAAAGCATTGGGTTTTTGATGTTTTTATGTTGAAATGCTTGCAAACACACGGTGTTCGGTAGGATTCTGACATGAACGCGCGCGTGTGCTCTTTGTGGTATTTTTTGCAATGGATTATCGCCGTGGACGACAGGACGTCCATGTCGAGAGGAAAAAATAAGAAAATAATGATTTTCTATTGTTTTTTACAGGTTAGGATGGGACCACCCGGATGCGCCCCCTATCTGCCGGCCTGAGGGGGGAGTAGGAGTATACTCTAATAAGGAATAAGGATAAGAGTAAAAAGTAAAGGTAAGAGTACGAGTACGAGTAAGAGTAAGAGTAACAGCAATATTAAGAGTAAGAGTAAGAGTAAGAGTAAGAGCAAGAGTAAGAGTAGACCTCAGAGTTCAAGTAAGACTAAGCGTACGAGTGAGAGTCAGAGTGAGAGTGAGAGTCAGAGTGAGAGCGGGAACAACAGTAAGAGCACGAGTAAAAGACGAGCAGGAGTAGGAGTGGTGAGGAGGAGTAAGAGTAAGAGTCAAGCTAGCCAGCTCGAGCGAGTCAAGCATGGCATGCCCAGTCCCACCCGCCCTCCCACAACATAAGAAGCAAAGCTGGCACAACTGGGGGCCGAAGTCACACCGGCCAGCCGGTTTGGTACAGCTGATGCGGCCGCGATGGCGGTTGCCGACGGGAACTGGCGAGCGCGTGTTGAATGCCGCGCACGCATTGCCAGACGAGTCGAGAATGGCCCGGTACACCGCAGGAAGCCAGAGGTGGCCGGAGGAAGCCCGACGGTCTGACAGGACACCCCAAAGCATTTTTGTGAAAAAGCATTGGGTTTTTGATGTTTTTATGTTGAAATGCTTGCAAACACACGGTGTTCGGTAGGATTCTGACATGAACGCGCGAGTGTGCTCTTTGTGTATTTTTTGCACAGGATTCGCGGCCTGGGTGCATGACAGAGCATCGCGAGTGCACCGCGCGATGACGTGAAATCGCGGACGACCGAATTCTTAAGATTCCTATGGTTTTCCTATGATTTCAGCAAGAGAGCCCGGGCGGGAAATTTGTACAATTTTTGTGAAAAGGCATTGGGTTTTTGATGTTTTTATGTTGAAATGCTTGCAAACACACGGTGTTCGGTCGGATTCTGACATGAACGCGCGCGTGTGCTCTTTGTGGTATTTTTTGCAATGGATTATCGCCGTGGACGACAGGACGTCCATGTCGAGAGGAAAAATAAGAAACATATTGATTTTGCATTGTTTTTTACAAGTTAGGATGGGACCACCCGGACGCGCCCGCTATCTGCCGGCCTGAGGGGGGAGTAGGAGTATACTATAACAAGGAATAAGGATAAGAGTGGGAGCACGAGTAAGAGTGGTGAGGAGGAGTAAGATCAGGACAATCCCTCCTAACTGTCCTGCTCCCCTTTTTCTGCGCGCGCGTCCGCCGAAGCCCCGCGACCGCGGGCGACTGCGCAGAGACTGCTACATACTTCACCGCGACCGCGGGTTATTAATTACCAAATCAGACTTCCCCCGCAACCGCGGGTGCGCCAGAGCCCTACCCGCTACCTGAGTTGCGCCACCCGGGCTGCTTGCCAGTTTTCTGGTACCACTTCTCCGCGCGCACCTCGCGATTGTCCCGGCGCATCTTGCCCTTCCCTTTCGTGCGGCGGGACGCAGTGGAGCCGAAAAAGATCAATCTTTTTCGCGTGGTCTGCGACATGGCGCGGCGGCTTCTCCTTCGACATCTGGATGGTGGGCCAGCCTCGAGATCTGTCCGCCCCCTCCCCGCCCAGGTGCGCACGCTGGCCAACCGCGCTCTGCGCGTGGTCGATCGCCTTTTCGACTGCAGCAGGCAAGGCCTCGACCCCGTCACCACGGGTGATACTGTAGCCACCGCCCTCCAGCCGCTCCTTCACGCTGCCGACAGGCCCCACGATGAACATAGCGGTTGCCGAGTGGGTCTCGGCGTGAGCGTCGAAATGCAGAGTGGCGCACGCTCTCACCTGCACAAACGTGCGCGTCGCAACGAGGAACTCGTCGAGCTTGTCCGCGAAGTGGCCAGCCACGAATCGAACTGACTTCCGTCCAATGCAGTCCACGACCTTCGTCCAGTTGTCCGCCACCGCGGAGTCGATGGGCTGATCGCCACCTGGGGTCAGACTGACCACGGCCACCTTGATGGACACCATCTGCTGGATACTCACGGCCAAAGAAAACTCGCCGAACGTAATCTGGCCGACGCCAGGCAGGTTCAGAAACTGCTGCACACCCACCTCTGACACGAACCCATCCCGCCCTGCCAGTAGGAACGGCCCTTGGTCAGAGCAGAGGAAGGGCACCTCTGCGCGCCCCTCGCCCTCTGCGCGCCCCTGGCCCTCTGCGCGGCCCTGCGTCAGCATGTCTTGGAGCTCTTTCCTCTGCTCTACTGTAGAGCACCGCACCAGGAGCATATGAGGACCCTGGTTGCGCAGGTCGCTCGCGATCTCAGGGAGGTCGGCCCCTTCGGCAACGTCCACGTACACGCACTGAGCCTGTCCAAAGCCAAAGTCGTCGCGCGCAGCAGACCCCTCCGCGACCGCGGAGCTCTCCGCGACCGCGGAGCTCTGCTGTTCCGAACTCTGCGTGGCCTCCCACTGCCGCCAAGCATGCTTGTGCTCCTGCGCCTGCTGCTGCTGCTGTTGGGCCCAAGCAGCCCAAGAGCTCCCAGTCCAGACCGCTGGGGGCTGTCCCCGCGCAGGTGAGGGGGGGGCGGGCACTCCGAAAGCGGCGGCCTGTTCCGTTTGCGACCGTTGGCTCCCGGGTTGTGCACGTGGTGCTGCCGCGTCCGCTTCTTCGCTCGTGCTGCGCCTGCTGCGCCTGCTGCTGGTGGTGCTGGTGCTGCTGCTGCTGCTGCTCTTCCCCCGCTTCCCCGCCACCGCGGCTCCATCGCGTGGAGACGCCGCCGCAACCGCGGCTCCTTCTGAGGCTGGTGCGGCTGGCTTGCGCGGCTGACTGGCTGATGCGGCTGAGGCCGCTGCCTGCTGCAGTCCCCGCGCGCGCTCCTCGGTGCCGCTGGTGCCGCTGGCTGCTGCCACCATGGCGCTCCGCGGCGGAGGAACCCCACGCGGCCCGCGGCCCGGCTTCGCCGCTGCCGCCGGTGCTGCCGCGCCCGCTTCTTCGTCCGAGTGGGAGTGCGAGTCCGAGTCCGACGAGTACGAGTCCGACGAGTACGAGTCGGCCCCCTTGGTCGCGGGCTTCGGCGGACGCTCCTTCGGGGCCTGCTGCGGCGGACGCTTCTTCTCCGCTACCGCGGATTTCTCCGTGGCCCCCTTGGGCGCGAGCTTCGGCAGACGCTCCTTCGGTGCCTGCTTCGGCGCCTCCCCCAGTCTCTTCTTCCGCTCCCTGTCCTTCTTGGGCAGACGCCTCCTCTTTACCGCTTGCTGCTGCGCCTCCTGCGGCGCCTGCTTCTTGTCCTTGTCCTTCCTGTCGTTGCTGCCCTTCTCCGCTACCGCGGATGTCTCCTTCTCCTTTTCCTTCCTCTCCTTCTTCTCCTTCTTGCCGTCCTTGTTCTTCTCCTTGTGGTCCTTGTCCTTGTGGTCCTTGTCCTTCTCCGCTACCGCGGATTTCCCCTCCTCCTCCTTGTCCTTCTGGCCCTTGTCCTTGTCCTGGCGCCGAACGAGCTGCGCCCTCGGCCGCTTTGGCTCGGCTGGCTCGGCTTTCGCTCGTGCCACGAGTTGCGCTTTCGGGCGGCTGCTCGGCGGGCTGCATCGCCTGTGGCGGCGGGCCGACGAACTGTCGAGCGAGCTCGGCTCAACGCTGGTCAGTTTTGGGCGTTTCGAACGCGGGGATGCGCTGCTCATGCCCCCCCCCCCCCCCCACACACTCCGCCACCACGAAGATGGGGCAGAGGGGCTCGAGGCTGCGCGGCTGCGGAAGGAGGAGCGCGGACGGGCAGGAGGACGCCAGAAAGGAGAAAGGAGGAGGGCGGAGGACATGGGACAGGGAAAAGGCAGGAGGAGGAGAGCGGAACGCAGGAGCAGGAGAGCGGAGGGCAGAAAGGAGGAAGGCGGAAAAGGCAGGAGGAGGAGAGCGGAGAAGGCAGGAACGAAGGGCGGAGGCCGCCGTCGGCCTCCTTGAAGAGCCACAGAAAAGTTGAATTCAGTTTTTGGAATTACAGGTCGACTTTTCCATTGTTGACTCTACAGAACTCCCCAACGCTTTCGCGGGTGACCCGGCCGCCGTCGGCCTCCTTAAAGAGCCACAGAAAAGTTTCATTCAGTTTTTGGATTTACAGGTCGACTTTTCTGCGCGCGGCGCTCTCTGCCTCGGAGCGCTGGTATGTGGTGAATCGCTCCGCCACCGCGGATCGAGACCCGACCTACTCACTTCTTTTTCTGCTTCTTCTTCTGGGACGCCGCGATCTGGTCGAAGGCGGTCTGCTGCGTCGTGGCTTTTTGTTTCTTCGTCGTGGGAGCGCCGTCAATTTGTACGACAACCTCTTGCCCCGCCTTGATTGGGGCCTTGCTGACGATGCACGGCAGCTTCACTGAATACGTGGACGCCATAGGAGCCACCTCGGCCTCGGCAGTCTTCAGATGAACGTAATCACTCGCCCAAACTTGTTTCACCGTCTCCATCACCACGGAGGCGTTCGCCTCGCAGTGGTGGTCTGTGACGGCGTTCCCCTTGTGGTCACTGCGCTTGATGAACCAGAACGGGTGGACTGAGCCCCTCGGGTCCCATACGAACCCTGCGCCACCCTCCTTCGGGAGTCTGAGCTCAGGCTGCACGTGAATCCTCACGACCACCTCTTCCCCGCTTTCGACGCCAACTTCTTCTTCTGCCTCGGTGATGGTTTTTACCCACGACACCTCTGCGCACGCGGCTTTCGGGTGGATGAAGACGCCCGGCCCCTCCATGACCATGGACGCGTCCTTCTTGAACCACAATGGCACCTTCAAGTGCCCCACGGGAATGTCTCTCGTGGCCACGGCCTTGACCGCGCTGCCGCTCTTGATCATCGCGATAGGGATTTCGCATGTCACGTGGTCGTGGTTAGCGGACATGGCTAACGCCAGTACCTGCTTGGCAATCTGCTTGTCGTCCGAGGCGCAGGCAGAGCGCGCCCACTCGCGCCATGGAATGGTATCCACTTTGTCCCCGCTCGCTACTCCTACTGCGGCAGACGCTGTCTCGTGCGCGGTCAAAGCCCCCCCTTCTGCGTCCTGCTTGATTACCCTGGGCGTCAGAGTCTCCGTGACCACGGAGCTCTTGCCCTTCGGCCCGGGGGAAGGCGACTGCCCCTTATCATTCGGGTCGTCCCGCAATTCCCCTACTTCCTGCATCAGGTCCGTCTCCCGCGGAAACTGAGGCATGTCCGCCTTTGTCAACCCAGCCTTTCCCAATGACATCAACTCCCGTAGCTTGGTCGCGATGAATGAGCTGCAATCCTTTGCGATCGCGCCCTCCTGCCCCCTGACAGACTTGCCGTCGCTGGGATTTTTCGGGGCCGCGAAAATCAGACAGCCCCACTATGTGAGCGGAGGGGCCTCGAACTGCTTCCGACGGAATTGGGGGGAGGGGAACAACATGCAAGAGCAGGACGAACGAACGACGAGGGGAGGGGAGGGAGGTGAGGGGCAGAACCACTCTTGAGGAGAGGTGGAGGAAACGGACGTTGAGGGGAGGGGAGGAGTACAATTGCGAGGGGAAGAAGGGGAGAGGACGATGCTGACGAGCAGGGGGGCAGCGGTAGATAGCGCAGCTCTGCGGATTTCTGCCATGACATTGACCTCCACCTCCGCAATCCACTTGCACCGCAACTTCTCGGAAGTCGGCCCCAGCTGCAGGAATGCACCCTCTACTTCCTTCAAGAAATCATACATCTGGAACCTCGATTCCTTGTTGAATCTGTGCGCAATGCTGGGGGGGGATCTGGCAAAACCCTCTGGTGGGCGGCTGCTTCCAAGCCCACTTGAGGCAGGCGTTCTTGAGTTTGGGGAACTCCTCAGGGTAGGGCGCAATCACGCCATAGGCCTCCATGCGCATTTTGCGCACCTTCGGGTTCACGAACACACCAGTGAACGAGAACAGGTCTTTCATGTGAATACTGCCCTCCCCTCCTGCATCGCGCACCAATTTGAATAGGCGCAGGAAGTCAGGATGGTCGATCTCCGCCCCATACAAATCGATGAGCTTGCCCCTCACTGGCTCGAAAGGCACGCATCCGTGGGGGTCTGGTTTGCACAAACCCACCAGGGTCGACAGGATCTCCAGGTGGCCCGTTTTCATGGCAGTTTCGTTCTTCTTGTTGAGTGCGATGCTGATTACTAGAGCTGCTTCGGGCTCCTCTTCGTCCATCCCCCAAGACAGAATCTCCCACTCCAGGCCGCCTTCGCACTGAGAACCCCACTTACCATCGTGAGCTCGCACTTTCTCCAAATTGTAGTTTCCCTTTTCGTCCAAAAGTATCGAAAACTTGCAATCGCACTTGGC